CCCCTGCGGGGTGGCCTGCCTCTGCCTGTAATTTTTTTTTCGATTAGTGGTACTATGCGTGCAAGCTACTGTGACAACAGATATGAGTGGCACTGTGCAGTGGCAGAAGTTGGCAGAGCAGACGCTGTAGGCCTGACACACACGCTTGCAGACAACTAACTGCTATTCAATCTATTACAGTCAAAAAAAATTTAATTTTTTTTTAAATGTACACTACTGTTACACCAGATATGAGTTGCACTGGTGTGACACTGTGCCCTGGCAGGCCCTGAAACGCACACGTGTGAAGGAAACTGACTGCTATTATATTACAGTCCAAAAAGTTTTTTTTTTTAAATGCAAGCTATTGTGACACCGGATATGAGTGGTGGCACTGGGCAAGTGGGCACAGTATACGCTGTGAGCCTGACACACACGCTGGCAGACAACTAACTGCTATTCAATCTATTACAGTCAAAATTTTATTTATTTTTTAAAATGTACACTACTGTTACACCAGATATGGGTTGCACTGGTGTGACACTGTGCCCTGGCAGGCCCTGAAATGCACACGCGTGAAGGAAACTGACTGCTATTATATTACAGTCCAAAAAGTTTAGTTTTTTTTAAATGCAAGCTATTGTGACACCAGTGAGTGAGTGGTGGCACTGGGCAGGCCCTGAAACGCACACTCGTGAAGGAAACTAACTGCTATTATATTACAGTCCAAAAATGTTTTTTTTTTTTTAAATGCAAGCTATTGTGACACCAGTGAGTGAGTGGTGGCACTGGGCAAGTGGGCACAGTATATGCTGTGACATATTGTTCATTTGTATGCTGTCATTTGTGGTCACTGAAGTCCCTGAGGAAGTCCTACATACGGACGAAACGCGTAGGACCCCTGGTGGTGACAGTGAGAATACATCCATTGTTTTATATTTAGATTTCTATATATTTTTTCTTTTTGAGCACACACCTCTTAATTGTTCCATGAGAGTTTAAAAGTGGTGGAAGAACTTTTCCTGGAAAAGAATTTATGCTGAAAAATAAATTTATTTTCAAGGCATTCTTACTTCAACGAAAGTGTGAGTGGCCACTTGTCATTTATACATTTGGTTCATTTCATACACACAGTTATGCGCTATGCATTTTTCTTGTTATTCATTTAACAGATTATCCCCTCTTTTGCTACATATATTCTGTTGAAGACAAGAGGAAGTCTTTGGGGAAAATCCTATCTGGTTCAGGGAGGTTTTTTTCTGCTATTTATCTATTGAGCACTTATTGCACTGTGGTTTGTGCACACATATTGTTTTTTGTATTACAGTATATGCTGTGAGCCTGACACACAGGCTGGCAGGCAGGCAGGCAACTGCAATTACATTACACAGAAAAAAAAGCAGACTGATGTTCTAGCCCTAAAAAGGGCTTTTTGGGGTGCTGTCCTTACAGCAGAGCTCAGATGAGTCCTTCAGGACTGTAGTGGACACTGAATACACTAGCCTAGCTATCAATTTCCCTATCAAATCAGCACCAGCTACACTGTCCCTCCTCTCACTAAGAATGCAGCTTCACAATTAATGTAAAATGGATGCTGTCCAGGAGGTGGGAGGGTCTGGGAGGGAGGGTCTGGGAGGGAGGGTCTTCTGCTGATTGGCTGGAATGTGTCTGCTGATTGTGAGGTACAGGGTCAAAGTTTACTCAATGATGATGAATAGGGGGCGGACCGAACAGCGCATATGTTCGCCATCCGTGGCGAACGCGAACAAGCGATGTTCGCCAGGAACTATTCGCCAGCGAACCGTTCGGGACATCACTATACCCTAGTACTGGCAGACTCAGATCATTTAAACATTCAATATTAATATCACCACAAACTCAAGATAAGCAGATGATCCTGAAGAAGCTTTGATTGTGCGTAGGTACCACAGACGTGAGGGCTGCAGGGTAAGGAGTATGTCTGTTTCTCTTTAGTTTCACAAGGTCCCCTTTTGGGGTATTCAGCTTTCCATCGATGGCAGGTGGTCAGGCATTATTATGGCCATCAAAACACCCACTTGTTAATATTTTTTTTCAACAAGTATCTTTGCTCTCTAAGAATGGAGTTTCAAAAAGGGTTGTCAAGATCAACAAATGCTACTTCACATGATGCAGAGGCAGGCTTGATTCTGGAATGATGAATCCACGGGGTGATCTCTGTAACTTTCACGGTGCACTACTTAGCATGTGATCTTGGTTATCACTTTGGTGGCTGGAAAGGCCTCTGGCCATCCTGAAAACATGTCTACTATAATTAGTGCATATTTGAACCAGCCACTCTTTGGCATTCTGGATGTATTCAACTTGACTTTGCAAGAGATAATGAGGTTTGGCTAGATGCTTGGGGCTTTCCTCCAGTCTTCCTGAGTTGCCCTTGGCACAAATGGCACAAGATTTACAGTAACTGTTGGTCAGAGAGGCAATTCCTGGTACTTCAGAGTATTTATTGATCAAAAGAGTTCATGAGGGTTCTGGACAGATGCTCCGTAGGCCCACTGGACCACTGCTGAGTATATGTTCTTGGGCAAGCAGAACTTGAGATTGTTGAAGTACAGCCTGTCTTTAAGGGTTGCCCCTTTCTGTTTCCAGCTTGTGGGTTTTTTTTTTCTTTTCCAGGGTCAGTAGCTGCTTGTTATTCCTTCGGGAGCTTGATGTCTGTGGGTAGGATCTTACATGGTGAATATGGGAGTTTCTTCAGCAGACACTCTTCTGTCCACTTCCCTTAGTGCACTTACAACTTATTGGACAACTTGGTCAGCCAGAGAGTTGCCACATGCTTCCTCTGAGTTCAGTCTTCCGTGAGCCTTTATCTTCAGTACGGCCACTTCTTCAGGAAGGTGTAGGGCATCCATCAGCTCTTTTTAGCTGTGCTGTACTTAACTGGCGTGCCAGTTGCTGTAAGGAATCTTCTTACTTTCAGATTCATTCCGAAGTCATGTGCCACACCTAGTGCATACCTTGTGGCAGAGTAGATATTGGCGTGTCTTCCTTCAGAGATCTTGCATGCTGTGGTGAGAGCCTATAGCTCAGCTTCTTGTGCAGACATTGTTGAGGTCAGATGCATGCTGTGGTGAGAGCCTATAGCTCACGAGGAAAAGGCTAAAAATAATAGAGTCAGTGTCTTATCATTTCCCCCCTGGGAAGTGGCAGAAGAGTGGCCAGGTAATAGAGTATCATCTCTGCAGGGTGACAGTATCCTGCACAGAATTCGTCTATTACAAGGAGAGGTGGGAGATTGCAGGGAGAGACTCAGGGAACCAGGGCACCATATGACACCAGAGCCTTAACCTGTCAGGGAATAGCAAGAGCTTGGACAGGCGTCAGGGGGGGCAGGGTACTATGGCTTAAGGGACAGGATGGCCTCTGGGATCAACTTCACAGGAACTGTGGGAGGGGGGGGGGGAAACATGGAGGTGTACAAAATCTTCGGGGCCTGTATAATTCAGGTAAAGGTACTGGGGGAACTAGCTAGGACCCTTGCCTCCTGGTCAGGTTTCACTGTGTGGAACAGAAGAAATAATAAGGTGATAGAGACCTGCAAGTGGGAGAAGGACATCTGCACCTAGCAGATTAATTGGACAGGTGGAGGTAACCACAAAGCAAGGCTTAGTTAACAGGCTACTCCAAGGAGAGCCATCTACACTTATGCAGGAGATAACAATGTTAGACAGGAATGAGGAGTCAGGCAGGCCGTGCTTGCTACAAATAGATGTCATGTGGCCTGCTATACAAGGCCGCATATAGCCGTTGGGTATGGGCCTTATTATGTACTAAAACTTCAGTTGGAAGAAAATTTGGGACAACCTGAAGTGATACTTCTCCACAGAGGCTAACTCATCGTTGATGACATTCTTAATACAGGTAGCCTGATCAGCCAATTTATCTTAGGCTTAAACAAGTCACACCAATGGGTCATTAGGATTCGGGCAATTCTACAGTAAAAGGGCATAGTAAGGGTGGAAGTGATGTTACGTTAGGAGTAGGCGTGGCTGTGGATAGTGGGAAATCTGCCTTATACATTCTCATATATTATTCCTTTTGTCTTCAGTATATCCAAAACATGTGTATGTCCAGGCGTTGCAGTATACATTAATCCATTATCGGTCATGATATTGACACTTGCAACCTTAATGTAAATTTATTTTAATTAATTAACCTAGTACTTTCCTATAACATACATAAAAACAATGAAAAAAACCCAAAAAAACAGTACAGACTAACAATTTAGTAAAACAACAAACAAACATAGATCTCTATTCTTGTGCTGATTTTAACTCTGGAATCAAATATCTGCAAGATCTTAAATAATTAGTACCAAACATAAATAACTTTAGTAGTTATATTCTGCCTTTGAGTGCTAACTCCGCAGTTTGTAGTTGAGGCAATTGGGAGTGGCTCAGGTGTCTGTATCGCTCTTTCACACTGAGTCCTGGGGGGGAAAAGGAGGGGGTCAAATCTGCACTCTTCTCTCTGCGTCTAACAAGTCAGTGTAACCCCTTCATGTCTGGATACCTCCTTACTTTATCTAAGAATAAAGCAACTTCCTTCAAAGTACTTTTTTTCTCTAGCAATTACAATTGCAGTTGAATCTAGATCTTGACATTTTTTCACTCTGTCCTAGAAGGAGGAGGGGGAGGTGTGTCAGATCTGAGTTTCATTCTCTGCCTCATTCCACAAGTCATTTATTCCAACAAAATCTAACTTGCTTTGTTTGCTTTCCTCATTCCAATATGCCAATAACCTCTTACTTAACAATATATACAAGATTACACAAAGTTCCTAACTAGGATATTTGTCCAGCAAATATCCCCTATTTTTTTTTTTTTCTCGTTCAGCAGCTAATGGCCAGCAGCTGGAAGATTTCCCTCACATTCCTCACTGAGTTTCACAAGCATTTCACCCATTCACCCTCCTGTAGCCAATACTCAGAGCTGTCAGAGCAAGAGAAAGCAACCAAGGGGGGGAGTGAGGAAGGGGAGTGTCACGTATTCATCCGCTTATAGAAATGTGGTTAATGACATTTACTGTCCACACAGGAAAAGTTGTGCCGAGCAGCAACTTAATCCACAGAAGGTTTAATGCTGAGCAGTAATTGTGCAAATGAAACCTGGTCTCATGTATTCATCCGCTTATAGAAAAGTGGTTAATGACATTTACTGTCCACACAGGAAAAGTTGTGCCGAGCAGCAACCTAATCCACAGAAGGGTTAATGCTGAGCAGCAATTATGCAAATGAAACCTGGTAACTGACTTTGGGGTCAAAGGCCGGTTACAGCCTATCAGAAAGAAAGGAGGGGTATTTAGGCCCAGTTCTCAGCCTGCTCAGTGCCCTGTCGTGGTTTCCCTTGTGGTTGTCCGAGAGCGCGTTCCTGTTTATAGTTTTCTACCTGTTTTTTTACTTTGGCTTTGTTTATTGACTTCTCTATATTCTGGTATCCTGACTCCTGGCTTTCCTCATCGCTGTGTCCCTTTCTGTGTTCCCTGACCTCGGCTAGTATTTTTGACTATTCTTTGTACGTTAAATCCGGCCATTCTAAGGACCGGTAATACGTTACTTATTTGTCATCCGTGCTGTACAGTTCTACGTGCTGGATCAAACAGTAATCCTGACATTACGACATGGCCATAGATCCTGTAGAACTGTGTCAGCACATAGCTGCTTGCGAGAGGAAATTAGAGGAGAATGATCACCGCATGGATCAATTCACTCAGGCTTTAAGTACGCTTCTCGCTAGAACGGAGCATCTGCAGCCTGCAGCGTCTCCTCCTATAGCACCTCTACCCAGTGTACCTCCACCCACTGTTAATATGACTCCTAGCATCTCCTTATCACCATCCCTACAGTTTGATGGCAATATCCAGGAATGCAGGGGTTTTCTTAATCAGATGGAGTACCATTTTGAGGCCTCACCAGGGTCATTCCCCACGGACAGAGCAAGAATTGGTTATCTAATGAATCAATTAAAGGGCAAGGCCCTTGCCTGGGCTAATCCGTTGTGGGAGAGTAATCGGAGCATAGCTCATAATTACCAGGAATTCCTTGCCGAATTCAAGCTCACGTTTGAGCCATTGGGTAGAGAGGATGACGCCTCCACTGCCCTAATACACATCAGACAAGGTAACCGGTCTATCTCGGATTATGCTATTGAATTCCGTACCTTAGCTTCCGAGGTAGACTGGACTAACAATGGGTTAATCTCAGCATTCAAAAAGGGTCTCTCAGAGACTATACTAGATGAGATAGCCACTAAAGAATTACCTAAGAGTCTTAACGAATTTATTACGTTTGTCTTCCAGACAGGCTAGATGGTCACTATTCCTTTCACGTTTTAACTTTCTCATTACTTATAGACCTGGTTCTAAAAATACCAAGGCTGATGCCTTGTCCAGGCAATTTGATAATGAGTCAGCTCCAGAACAGGTGACATCTCCTATTATTCCACCAGAGTGTATTATTGCCACTACTGTCCTCTCACTGTCTTCTCCACTGCTTGGCACCATACTGGAGGCCCAGCCTCAGGCGCCCAGTGGTAAACCGTGTGATAAACTGTTCGTTCCCCTATGTGAAAGGGTTAATATCATGAAAGTGTTCCATGACAATATAACTGCTGGACACCCGGGCATCAATAAGTCCACTGCCGCGATCACTAGATCATTTTGGTGGGATTCACTCAGGAAAGATGTAAAGGAGTATGTGCAGGCATGTTCTGTGTGTGCAGTTTCTAAGGTGACTCATGCACTTCCTTGTGGCCTGTTGCAGCCTCTTCCTGTTCCTGAGATTCCATGGTCCCACTTATCCATGGACTTTATTGTAGAGCTTCCTAGCTCTGCTGGGTTCACTACTATTCTCATGGTTGTAGACCGATTTTCTAAGATGGCTCACTTCATTCCTCTCAAGAAGTTGCCATCTTCGCAAGATTTGGTCCTAATTTTCATATGTGAAATTGTCCGTTTGCATGGCATCCCCCACAATATTGTGTCTGATAGGGGCTCTCAGTTTGTGTCCAGGTTCTGGAGGGCGTTCAGTAAACAATTGGGGATTGATCTCTCCTTCTCCTCCTCCTACCATCCACAGACCAATGGTACAGCTGAGAGGGCTAACCAGTCATTAGAAGTTTATTTGCGTTGTTTTATTAATAGCACACAAGACAATTGGTCTGAACTACTCCCGTGGGCCGAGTTCGCTAGAAACAATGCTGTTCATGACTCCTCTGGGCACAGTCCATTTTTTGTCAATAATGGTAGGCATCCTACGGTTCTCCCTGCGGTATTTTCTGATACTGCCATTCCTGCTCTGGATGAGCGTCTGGCCTCCATTCGGGATACCTGGGTTAAGGTTCAAACTGCTCTAGGGGCTGCTGCTGAACGCTTCAAACATTTTGCTGATAAGCGTAGGAGTGCCAACCCGGTGTACCAAGTGGGGGACCGGGTTTGGTTGTCATCTCGCAACATCAAGCTTAAGGTCCCTAGCATGAAGTTTGCCCCCAGATTCCTTGGTCCCTATAGAGTGCTTCGTAGGATCAATCCAGTGTCTTACTCTCTGGCTCTTCCTGCATCTTTTCCCAACACTTTTCATGTGTCCTTACTCAAACCTCTTGTCTGCAATAGATATACTGTTCCTTGTGTTCCTCCCCCTCCGGTGGTGGTGGGTGGTCAGGAAGAGTATGAGGTATCTTCTATCGTGGATTCTAGATTTTCTCGGGGCACTTTACAGTACTTGGTTGTTTGGAAAGGTTACGATCCTGCTGATCGTTCTTGGGTTTCGGCTCCTGACCTGCATGCGGGCCGTAAGATCCGCGCTTTTCACGCTAAATTTCCTCTCAAGCCTGGTCCTGTCCGCCCAGTGGGCGTTCTTCAGGTGGGGCGTAATGTCACATATTCATCCACTTATATAAATGTGGTTAATGACATTTACTGTCCACACAGGAAAAGTTGTGCCGAGCAGCAACTTAATCCACAGAAGGGTTAATGCTGAGCAGCAATTATGCAAATGAAACCTGGTAACTGACTTTGGGGTCAAAGGCCGGTTACAGCCTATCAGAAAGAAAGGAGGGGTATTTAGGCCTAGTTCTCAGCCTGCTCAGTGCCCTGTCGTGGTTTCCCTTGTGGTTGTCTGAGAGCGCGTTCCTGTTTATAGTTTTCTACCTGTTTTTTTACTTTGGCTTTGTTTATTGACTTCTCTATATTCTGGTATCCTGACTCCTGGCTTTCCTCGTCGCTGTGTCCCTTTCTGTGTTCCCTGACCTCGGCTAGTATTTTTGACTAATCTTTGTACGTTAAATCCGGCCATTCTAAGGACCGGTAATACGTTACTTATTTGTCATCCGTGCTGTACAGTTCTACGTGCTGGATCAAACAGTAATCCTGACAGGGAGAAGATTTGCAAGTACAAAGTTTTTTTTTTTTTTTTTAAACCATGTGATTGCCTAAGCACAGCTCTCCTTAGGACAAAAGATAGAATAGGAGAGCGACAATACAGATATTAGAGATTACAATTAACATATACCCAAAAAGACATATACATGCAAAGGCACACTATACAGATGTAATTAAACCACAAATTCCTTAAAATAAATGCCAGCTAATAACAAACTCAGGTCACACACAAACACTCAAGCACATATACAACAACTTAACTCTTTGTTTGTTCGTTTTTTATTATTTTACCAAACTAAAACTAATTACGCCAGCTCTTTTTTTTTCCAAAACTGAACTAAAACAACAACAGATATGCCAGGATATTGTCTATCCCGAACTAAAATAACAAATACACCCGGATTTTGTTATATGAACCCCGACCTCAATCACCAGGGTTTTCTATGAACCCCGACCTCAAATAATCAAAAGAAATCGCTACACTCTCAACCGAGGCTGTAGCCAAAAACGAACATAATGTTAAGCAAGTAGCACAAAGATTTTCAAGCAGACACTTTCACACATAAAACTCACATGCAGGATGTAGATAGACAATTGACAGGTTCTATGCAAATAAAGGGGACATGTGGGCAAACTATATACCTGTCGAAGACATTAACCACAGGAAGCCGTGTGGAGACACGGAGAATAATCCAAGGCCAAAGAAAGGAAAATATAGGTAAGTTACTCATTTACCATATGCAGAGGTGATCAGGCTCTTTTCCCAATCTCTGGGGGGTCTTTTCTCCGGTCCTTAATTACGACTTCTGTAGCAACACAACCCTCAAGTCCCTGTTCACAACGCAAACTGATTTAGATCAAAGAAAACTTTGATTATTTGTCTATCTACTCCTTCCAAATTGATTGATTAATGCGTGCACGCTCTTCCTAGAAGTAATTCACACCAGAGACAAAGTTTCTGATTAGTGAAAAACCTGAGGAATGCCTTTATACCACGGAGTGGGAGCCCGTTTTTAAAGCAGAAATACGTCATGTACAGAGTCACAGTTAACATACAGTATTCATTCAACAATTGCTTAACAGTCTAAGGGGTCTTGTCTAAACCCCCCCTACAGGTTGCAGTGTCGTAATTACAGAGTTCTCCCACCCATATTCCAGCTCCATTTTGGTTACACGATGGGAGGGGGAGTGAGTAGTAGTTACTGAACAGACAGGGGCTGAAGCGGAAACAGTTACTTTAACAGCGATTCTCCATTTTGTTACATGTGGCACATAGCTGTTAATTTGCACAAAGGAAGGGGGGGGGGAGTTTAATAAAGGAAGCTGTTTTTTTAACACAGGAATTTGTTACACAATGTTTGCTCGATGGGAAGGGGGGAGGCTAGCCGGGTGGGAGGAATTTGCAGAGAAAATAGTTACTGAACACATTGTAGGGGGGAAGGGAATGTTTACTCTAGCAGCCAGTTTTAACATAGTGAATCACAGAATAAATAGACACTAGTAAATAGCCATTTTATTTTAATTCTTTTGTCCATAACACTATGAGGGCATCCTCTGGGGTCTTGGGAACCAGCAGCTCTGTCCTGCCATACTCACACAGCTTCTCGCACAGCGTGGTGGCAAGGAAGGATCAGGGAGGGCTGGTGGGAGAGAGGCCTGGAGAGACAGAGGGGAGGTACTGTGAAGTAGCCAAGATGGCGACCAGTCTCCTCCACTCCTTTATAGTCTTTAGGGGCTCTGTCTGCAAGGAGTGGAGGAAGGTCACATGACCTTCTCTAGAAACATAGAAACATAGAATGTGACGGCAGATAAGAACCATTCGGCCCATCTAGTCTGCCCAATTTTCTAAATACTTTCATTACTCCCTAGTCTTATCTTATA